TGCCAGTTCTTTAATAATTAAAATATCAATTATCCTGTTAAAACCTATCGACATAAAGAAATAATGAATCAAAATTTTATTTTCATATTACTTTATTGGCTGCACTTCTCACCATCAATGCTATTCCATTCCAGAAAAGAGAGACTGAATTTAGAGTCTGTATTGATGGCCCTGATGGAGTTTTCAACGTTAACATGAATCCAGACCCTCCGTTCTTGGACAAAACGTAACTTTTGATATTTTTGCGAGATGTTTGGGATGATGGATCACTTATAGTGGATTTTTTCGATGCAGACCTGACTCAATTTTTAATGCATTACTTAAATTATCAAGATACTAGGTTCAAAATAAATTTCACCGTGGTATAATTGTGCTGGCGAATTATTTAGTTCAATATCTAGCGCTTTGTTCAAACATGTTAGTGCGTCTTCTTGCAGTCCAAAATTTTACATTGAAAAATTAACGCCGTCACCTTTGTTGCCAAAATCCTTATTGCAATTTCGAAGTCTGATATGCATTATAATAACGTTCTAAATTCAAGTAAGCTTCTCCACGAAGAATTAACATATCTTCATTATTCAGCTCAATTTTTAAAGCTTCATTAAAATCGACAAATGCACGACCGAGACAGTAGAAAGCTTCACCACGTAAAAAAATCACAGTAGCATTTAGGGATGGGTTCGGTAGGTTATAGTTGGCTAGCGCTCGGCTATAACTGTAGTCGATAATAGTCGACTAGACAGCTTAACTGACCGGCTTGCCGATGCCAAATTTTTTATTTCCTGGTTGATAAATCATCCTTATTGCTTAATTCGACATGAAGTGCACAAATTACAGAATTATTGCAAGAAATACCCTAGATGTAGCGTCACAGCAGATTCTCGATTTTGATCAAAAAAAATTTAGACTAAAGTTACTCGAGATTTTACAGTATTAACGAAACCATACCTGCCCATTAAGTGAAAACGCTCTTTGACTATTTTACCATTGTTTAAAACCATTTTCCTAAAAATTTCTATTTTTTTGTAATAAATAAATTAAGAACTTAATTCCGGCCAAAAATTACGTAACAGTTGTATAGTGCGGGCCAAGTTTTTGTAGATCACGGCAGTTGGCCAACTAAAATTGAGAATCTGCAGTGGCAAAATTGGGCGTCAGCTAGAGTATTTTTATTGCAAAATAGTAAAAGATAGGCACGTTTTGTATACTTATCACTTTAAAAAGTTTTTTTATGCTTTTTATCTAACCATCGAGCAATTTTTTGCTGACAATCTGAATACAAAATTTCGATAACAATAAATTATCATGGCTGCAAAATGATGTATCTTTTGATCAAATTTGTGAATCGTGACCACATATACAAATTTGTATTTTGTCCTTTTAATATGCGATTATGAGCGATTCTTATTCAAATATTTAATATTTGGTTAATATTTTTATAAATTATCTGATCTAATTATGCTAAATGATAGGGATGGTAAAAATCGGGTTTCATTGATTTAAAACATGTGATGATTACGATCCGAATATATTAAATTTACTGCTACTTTCATAATTCCTGGAACACCTGATAAAAATTGACCGAATGATTTTTCGGCCGATCCGGTTAAGTT